TTCTTGAATATACAACGTGTTCTTGAATGTGCAACATGTTCTTGAATATACAACGTGTTCCTCGTGCACAAAAACTAGAAAACGGTGAGAAAATTTGATCCAAGTCGTGTAAAATGTGTCTATGGAGCAAAAGAAGAGTCAAGACTGCAGCGTATGGGCTGCTCTGTGATGAGGTGACGGCAGAGGGAAACAGACAAACTGGGACACCCCAAGTCAAAGAAATCGAAAAAAGGATTTTCTGTGCATTATGAAGAAAGCAGAAAGTCAAGAAAGAAATTTGGAAAAGAGTGAAACAGAATGTTACCAGTACAGGTTGAATACTTTTTTAAAAACGGGAAGGCGCAGTGGCTGTTAGGGAGAGAAATGATGCCGGGCGAAACAAAGGAGAGGGTGGTGAAGACTTCAAAGAGGAAATGCCTCAAAAAGGCGCCGCAGAAAGAGGGCGGAAGAGACGAAAGACCCGGGAGACCGAAGCAGGGAGAAATCTAAGACCGAGGAGCAAAAGAGAGAATAGAGAATGAGTTTAATAGTTAATGGGAAGGTAGAGTTGAAGAAAATGTGATGTTTGTTGGGCGGAGGAAGGTGAAATCGTGAGAACAGCTCAGACTAAAGAAATCAAGGTTTTTCTAACCTCATCAGGCAAAACAGGAAAATGCCATTTTTAGCCTAAACACATTAGCTCTCCGGTTCCTCCCTGGTATCCTCACACCGCCTCCCTCCAGGTTCTCACACTCTTGCTTTTTGGTTTCTAATAAAACCTGAAGGATTTATGGACGGAGCCTCTTTCATGATCTGCTCCTGTCTTTCAAAGTTTTACGTGGTTTTGCAGGTGTGCTGCTCATATTACCCATGATCCCTGCTGCTGAATCATTTAAAAACCTTCAAACTGTGTAAAGGTGTGTCCGGATAAAAGTGGTTTTACAGTTTCATATTGATCCGTTTAGGTCTAAACATGGCAGATGTGTGTAATGGACGTGTTAGCATGTTAGCTGGGGGGAGCGGGGGTCGATTTGAAGCCGTGATACTCATCAGTGATTGTCCAGCAGTTGACACGTCTGATTGTAAATACACAGATAGCCAAAGAAGCAAATGACTGCTGAAGAAGCTGAACCAGCTGAAAAGGTTTCATCGCTAAATTGTTAATGCGAGCTGAATTTGAGCAGCTAAACATTTGCTGAAAGCAGGAAAATGCAAGCAGAAGGCAGCCGAAAAGTCTAGAAAAGCTGAATAAAGCAGAAATGAGCCATATAAGCTGAAATAGGCAAAGAGAAGGGCCGAACAGATTACAATAATTATCATGAAAAACATGAATTTATAGTGAAAACAGCCAAAAATAGCTAAAAAAAAAAATGCTAATAAGGTATCAGAAAAAAGTAGAACAAGCTTAAAATAGCAGGAGAAAGCAGAACAAACATGTTTGCTGAAAGAAGCAGAAATGAGCGCAAAAAGTGGAAATTATCTCAAAAAAGCTGAAATAAGCTAAAGAAAAGTAGCTAAAAGGACAGAAAGAAGCTGAAATTACCAGAAGGAAGTGGAGAGAGCATATTTTTCTTGAATTAGGCTGGGAAAAAAACAAATAAGTGCAAAAACTGTGGAACTAGCTGAAAAAGCTAACATTAGCATAAAACAGCTAAATAGTAGCTGAAATAGCAGAAAAAGCTAAAACTTGCCGAAATAAGCTGAAAGGAGCATAACAAGCTGAAATGAGCAAAAAATAAATTAGAAGCGCAAAAATGTTGTAATTAGCAGAACGCTCCTGAAAGAAGCACAAAAGCACAAAAACAGCTAAAATTAGCTGAAAGTGGCTGAAAAAAAGTTTAAATTTGCCCAAGGAAGCTGAACCAGAACAAAATGTAAAAGGAGCAGTAAAAGGTTGTAAAACAGAGCTAAAGATATGAAGGATGGAAAATGAGCATAAAAAAAAAAAAGCACAAAAAGCCAAATATTAAAAAAAATAACTAAAGTTCCACCAATACCAAAAGTCATAGTACTCTCCTCTTGAACGAGCCGAATGTTTTGATCTTTGATTTGTTGAAATAGCACAAAAATTGTGGAACAAGAAAGATGCTGAAAAACCTACGAAAGAAAACTGGATCACTATGGACTGAATGCTTCAGAAACATTCACACTATTATACTATTATTATTATTATTATTATACTATTATACTGTTGCCATTTCTGTCAAGCCTTAACCAATGATGCAATATTGCAAGAACTCTCGGCGTATGTGTTGAGGATGACTTTCAGCTACTACTACAGCAAAGTTAGGCTCAATATCCATAAAACTGACTAAGCTACAGACCTTTCTGTTGATAAAGGTTATTCAGCTGTGGTGGCCGTCTTGAGCTGAATTGCCCATATAAGGTAATCATTTTTTCCTTTGTTGATTCTTTCCCGATAACTTCATGAAAATCTGTCCAGTGAGCCATGTGATATTTTGCTAACAGACAAGACTCTAAAAAGTGGTTCAGGTGTTTC